CCCCCGTTTCACACGCGTGACAACCCAACGTCCTCGGCATGCTGATTCTGGCCCGCAGGAGACGAGGGAACTGCGAGATGACTAATTACCCCCTTCCCCCCACCTCATCAACTACAATAGCACTGTACCGAAATGCCTACGTTAGTCGCCTATTTTCCATGTCACTGTAACGGCCTGAAGTGAATGACCGAAAAACAGCTGTTTGCCAACACGACTCTTTGATCAAAAACGAAATGGGAATTTTCGAATAAACTTGAAAAGTTAAGTAAAATGGGCATGATTAATTGCCTGAATGCAACAAACCCTCAGGTAGTACACCTTAGCCATCACTGTAAATTGCCCCATTAATTAAAAGTACGTCTCGATTCTATTCGAATGCATCGGTCGGCGAGAAGAAAGTAGAGCAAGTTACTGTGCCAAATTTCACACACTGAACACAGACAGCTGGCAAGGCGTCAAAACTGCCAACACGAATATGTGCATCGATTGCCTGACGTGTTACGTTGACAAACCTGTCAGTGTAGAAGTAAGAGTGGTGAACCGATGCAAAACTACGCAAACCACAATTTAAAAATCATTTAACGCACGACAAAGAGCATAAGGTATTTGCATCACGTACCGCTGCACGAGGGGTCAGCCCTTCGACTAAAATCGAAGAAAACACGAACGTGAGCGCGTATTTTGAAAAGTTTATTAAATCGGCAGGGAAAGTCGGAATGCTACGTCATGACCAATTTTTTAAAAACCGCCTTTCAGTCTTGTTGTTAACTGGACAGTTGAACCGTCAGCAACTCTGCTCTGGCTGAGGGTTCTCGTATCCTGGAGTGTCTGACCTTGACATGTGAGCACTTGATCTCTCACCGGGACACCCTCCCGTTCCTGGACAGTTTCTTTTAACTCGCGAACGGTGGCACTCGTCCTGGACTGAATAGTCTTTGTTTGACCTTGCAAATTCCGAAGGAAGATCTGGATCTGGTCAAGCATCCGTCTCTTCACCTCCACAACCGGGTTCTTTAAGAAATCCTTCTTTTGCAGAAGGTTCTCACCTGATCCAACCGATTTCCCTTTAAAGAGAACTTCCTGCTCTTGGGCAGGAATCTGGGTGGCTGCCTCAATCTGCTTCGACAATTCCTGCATGGGGTTACTGCTTCGGGGGTTTATCGGCAGCCGCAGTTGATTACCGGTCTCTCTGATCCTAACCGTGACCTCCAAACTGCTGCTTGTCCCTTCCCTCTTCTGAACAGCAGTGTTGGCTTTCGGTCGGTGAACAAAGATCACGGAGTTCTGTGGGAGTTGGTATTCTTTGAGGCACCTGTTCTCATCCATCCGGCTTCCAGAGTGGATCAGACACTGTGAGGTCGGAGGTACGCCCTGCTTAATCGCTAACTTTTTGTTCAGGTCTCCAACCGTCATACCGGGTGCCACATGCACTTCAACCGTGCTCCTATCTGGCATCACAATTCGGACTGTCTGGAGACCTGCATTTGAGGGCACAACCCCCTCTTCCTTGGCATTTGGCGCGGATTTTGGCAATGCAGTTGGAGTTTCATGCACGTACAGGGTACTGCTTTTTTGTACCTTGTAGTCCGAAAGCGTCTTATTTGGATCTAATTGCTTTCCAGAATATATGAAAACTGAATTTTCATTGAGCCTTGTGATACCCAGTCCATTTAGTCTCTCTTGAAGTTCACCCACGGACATGTTGGGATCAAAACTCAAGTTAACGGCCTCGCTATTCGGTAACATGACAGTTATAGGGATCGTTTGGCTGTTAACATCGGCAACAGCGGCAGAACTGTTTATGGAGCCAGCTTCGTTGGGTTCATCAGACTGGACATCCGGCTGATGTTCGCCTTGATCTTGGCTGTTCCCTTCATTGCCTGCCTCAGGCATATTGGCATCCTCCCCGCTTTCGGCCATTTCAACGTGTCTAGCGTCCTGCGCTCTGAGGAGCAAACTTGGCTACGCAGTGGTTATAGTGGATTTTAGCCAATCAAAGCGGAGGAAATCTGCGATATACAGACACGCGGCGAACGAAGTTTGCAGCTAGAAGTGTGAGTATCTGATTGGTTAACTATGTCCCTGTTGTTTATCATACGACTGCTGTAGCGGTCGGTGACGCCGATAGTTGCACACAAACGATTGGTTAGATCACCTCGGTTAGCTTTACAGGTATGCAAACGCCTGACAACATTAGTAAGCCCACACGAAGCACACATGAGTGAAAGTGAGCGAGAGAGACAGAGAGATATTGTAAATATTAGTCGAAAACCTTTAGCTAAAATGTCTTCCATTCAGCCTAAATAACCGAAATGGGACCGCTAGATCTCAAGCAATGTATCATGGTGGAAAACTACAGGTCCTGTAAAACATATAATGAGCCTATGAGCAAGATGCCGCAGTCTCTGAAGAGGGTAAACGTAGATACGGCCTTGCGTAGCTTGCGTGAAAACCTGAAAAATACACAGGAATAGAAGCGTCCTGGCAAATTAAAACAAATTGCCCTGTGATAAGTTTACGGCAGGCCAATCATATGCATATCGGAAGAAGAAGATGCGACCACTAGAACATCACTTTTATTCTCCTGACGCTTCGGATTCTGTCGAAAATCTTTAATCATAGATAATCACGGGATAGTATAAGAAATGCGCAGATGCAGGTGATATATATGCACAGATTTCATGGTGTTTATATTATGTAGCGGTCATCCGCATGTTTACTTTAATTCCCAGCTCCGCTAGCCACCGTTTAGGGTCTTAATTGGTACAGTGATGTTTTGATTATTCGCCTTCGATTCATTAATTACCTCCATTTCCTTGTTCGTGTCTGATGCGGCTTGATAGTTGCGCGAAAAGTATGCTCAG